TCAGGGTGTGTCCCCTAGCCTGCCGATCAGCATACGAATATGAAGGAGAATTCTTACACTGCTAAGTCCTGAGAGCTACGCCCTACTCTTTATCGAACCATTACCCTTGAAGACAGCAATTGAGGTCAAGCCATCCGCTGACTGGGCCCATGTTCACGAGATATGTTTGAAAGGCTCAAATTTGACCTCTCTTCTTTCTCTGGACACAGCCTAACCCCGGTTAAAATCTAAAGAAAGGATGGAACGGACCCACATTCTTGTCACCCATCTGGAGGTGAATCTGTCATTTGTTACTGCACAGGGAGGAAGCTGTGCATTCTCAGTGGGCTAAGGGCAGTGACAATAGCTGGAAAGAGCCTGGGGAAAGCTGGGGGAAATGGCGAGAGAAGTTTTAGGGGAAGAAAGAGGCTGGGGAGAGAAGACACAGCAGAGGAGTGGTGAGGAAGCAGAGACAAGAGGGACAACAGTCCAGACGGGGCTGTACATAGGGGTCAGAATGTTTCCATGTGGGGTTCTGATCTCATCACTTTTTCTAGATAAATTGTTCAGGAAAGAATCTCGGTACAGGTTCCCCTTGAAGAGTTTCCCTACAGCCATCACAACTGTCCCCCTGAAGTGATACCTCCCTGACAATTTCCAACATTCCAGAAATCTAGAAAGCCCAAATAAGAAGTGAGGACTATCCAAAATGCACTAAACACCATTAGGACCTGCAGACTCCAGCATCACAAGCACTGGTTGTACAATGGTACAATTCTAACAGCTCCCATTTATGAGGTTAAAGGAATAGTGATTCATGAGACTGGCTGACACCTGGAATGAGTTAATCAGGCCATCCCTAATGTAAATGACATTGACTCACATTTCCAGATGTAGGTGGAACTGGCAATTGTCTTTTCCTCATAATTGTCTTAACTTGCTTTGCTAGTTAGAAATAGTTTTCTAGGTTATATTTCAAATCTGGTAATCATTAGAAGTACATTCTTTCCATAGATGTTTGTATTTATAGTCAATGGGAATATCTAGGACAGAATTTGACCTACAAACTTAAATATTTATGTAGCAGCAGCCTAGATAGAAAAATCTGTACTTAAATCTGAACCAGAACTAAAGTAAGATTGCTTGATATATATATATATCTATATATACACATATGTACACAAAATTTAACAGATGAATGCACACACTGGGGCAGATAAGATTTTTGTGGCTTCCCCCCCTTAAATATTTCTGATTGCTTGCCTTAGTCTTTTCATCAAATTTAATACAATGGCATTCTCACAGATAATGGAGGGGAAAACCTGTAGATAGTAGGATTTTTAAAAAGTTGGAATCTTCTAAAAAGCTAAACAGAAAATAGTATATGAAAAGGGAGAAAATTACAAAGTACTGGTCATCCCCCACTGTTTTTTCCTCCAGCTGTGTTATAGCCTTTTGTCTTTCCTTTGCCTTCCTCCCTACCTTTCCTCTCATCCAAAAAGTGCTTAGACCATGCTCCTCTTTAGGCTATCTGCCTCTTCTTTCCCAAGACACAGACTTATTCCAGGCCCTTGCAATTAAACAATACTCTGTGATGTTACAGTGATGCAACCTGACTGTAGTTAAGCTGACTGCAGTGGAATGTCATGACTTTGACCACAAAGATTTGACCCAATTACTGTGACCTGACACACTTGCAATCTAGTACAGCCTGAAGTCTCAAAGCAACAGCCCCTGAAACCACTAGAGACTTGCGTGAAAGCTGGAACCAAGCAGAACAAGACTGAATTAAACCCAGGGGAAAGGCACTACAGAAAAGTGTAATTCTGTGACGCAGTTTGTTAATACACATTTACTTTGCTTGCTAGAGGACGTTGGGTGAGACATCCACGTGCTTTTTAAGAACAGAAGACTTTGTCACTTCCTCTTGGATTGTTGAGCTGCCTACATCCTCTTCTGAATCTGTATTCAAATCCTGGGGACACACCACAGTCAGTGTGCGGACTGATGGGTGTGGGGTGACGCTGCACTGCAGCGCCAGGTAGTGGTGAGGCGATGTGCGGTGTGTGAGCGGCTCCGTGCAGGGATTCTGCCCCTAACAGTGAGGGCTTACGCTGCAGTAGCCAAGACAGCTGTAGAAGGAGGTAAGGAAACATGTCATGTGGTCAGCCTTTGTGCTTAAGAACCACCTCTATAAATCTTATGCAGCCTTTTTTCTTCTGGTGGTTTTGAAACATTCATAATATAAGGAACTCCTGGTTTTGTTTTTGTCCACTTGCATAGTATCTATAGAGCAGACTTTAAAATCTTCCCCACCCCTTTAAATACCAAAGCAACGTTTCCTTGCTCCGTTAGCACCACTGGGTGGAACATTGAACTGACATGGAACATCTGCACCTATACATTACTGCAGTCATACTGAAAGCCACAGTATTTATTCCTTGGAAATCAAACAATAGGTAGAAAATAAAGCAAGAAAAAATGTCCAAGTGTCAAATCTCACTCAAAACCAAACCAAACCAAACCAACAAAAAAAGCAAGCTACTTCACATTACTCATTGGTTTTGTCTGTAAAAGCTCCTGAAAGCTGCATGGAGAAACTTAGAAAATACCACTCCATAACAGTCCAGGTTCTCATCTAGCATAGATTCTCAGATCCATATAGGGCTACACTATATTCTTGCATGGATAACATTCAGAATCCTGCATAATTTCTGGACTTGTTTTGCCATTCTGTCAGCACCACTTTTCTGCTCTTGATGCTGGAATTCCTGGCTTGGAATACTAACGCAAGAACAGCTGTAGAAGATCATAACAAATTCCATTTAGCTCTGTATCCCATCACAGATGATGGCCTGCAGGGACGCTGAAGAAGTGGTATAAGAATGGGACAGAAAGATGAAGTAATACTTCCCCAAAATAAGCTCTCAGTCTCTAATATCATGGTTCAGAGCCTGCTTGATAAAACCATGGAGAAAAGTAGTGCCCTGTGCAGTGCCAATTAACAGCTGCCTTCCAGTCTTATAAAAGCTCATGATCAAAGCTTCTGTTTCTGCATCTTACCTATTTTTGTCTCCTTCAGTGTTGTTCACTACCATTGAGAACCAGAATTCCTAAACCAAAAATCAAATAATGTGATATTTCTGGAAAAAATAGTTATCCAAATGCAAGAATATTCCTTATAAATCTCAGCAGCAAAGTTTCTTTATTCCAAAAGAGAAGTGATGGATAACCACATAATCAAATTTTGAAAGCTAAGATCTAGAAGTAGACTTAAAATTAATCACTTGGGGCCTACCTATGAGGCCAAATTATCCATCACATTACTTCATAAGTTGTTACTTATTCAAGTTTGTTGCTTGTGTGTCAATACAAATAAACATGTACTATCTACGACAGTGATGAACAGTGACTAAATGTACCCTGGAAATTCAGTCCTGAATACTTTTTTCTAATCAAGTGCTTTGTTCTGCCAGCAAGTTCCAGGAAATTATTTCTGTAGTTTAGAATAGTCAAAATGTGTTATTATGACTCTGTGTTAACTTTTTCACACACCCCCAGAATACTGTCTTCTATGCTCTTAGGAGATAAAGCTGCATATCTCCAGTGGAAAACAGGACTCAAAGAAAAAGGTGGGCTTTGCTGTGACTACCATTATTGATGGTTCAAAAGAAGTTCTTTTAGGTAAGACTCCTAACTGGACTAGCCTGATATCCTTGTGTTCAGAATAAACACTTAATTCTCTCCAGAACTGACTAGCATGCAGGCAGGGAGAAGAATAACTGCGTCTTTAAAGCGGTGATCTCTGACAGAAGTTTGGGGGCTGGGTACAGAGGTGTGGAATAGCTGTAGGAGAAACAAATCACGAGAGAGTCCGTAACTACTTTTCAGAGGCAGATCAGAGAAGAGGGCAACTCCCAAACAGGCTCCCGAGAGACTTCCAGCGCAGAGGAAGAGCTGGAGGGCTTGCTCCCTCTGCTGGAGCATCCCAAGAGACCCATCACAAACCTGCTAGTTAGACCCGCTTTGAAATCCACAGCAAATCGCTTAGACTAGGAAATAAAGGTTAATGCAGGGTTGATTACCATTGCTGGCTTACTATCATAAGGGATTTTTTAAGGGACAGAATATGTACTGGAATATGCAGATGAAGGAAGAGGGGAGAGAGCTATTTAATTGCTTTTGTTTTGAAAAGAAACAAAAGAAGGCATGAGTTGAAATCTGTTTTTCAAATCACAACGTAGGAAAAGCAAGCAAACCTTTTCAGTGTCTTGTATAATGTAGAAGAACAACTCTTGTTGTATGACCTTGGCTCTAGGGCAGATTACTCGCTGTCATTCCTGTAGCCATGTATAGAGAAAACCACCTGCCTTTTTGAACTGTATGTTCTTGTTGAGTACAGCCTGGCCTTAAATACTTTGGCTTATGAGTAAATAGCCAATTCCTACAGCAAACAGAGAGTAAACCTCTCCTAAAGCACCTTCAGATGAATACAATGTCATCACTCAGTTATTTAGTGTTCATGTTGGATAATATAAGTCATAGTAACATGATGCATAACAACACCAAGAAACTGACTCAGCACTCACTGACACAGCTCTACTCTTGCTTGCAATAGTTTGTGGCCAAGGGTCCTCTTTCTCTCTTGTAGAATTAGGGTCACCTTTGGGCTATGAGACATCCCGAGTGACTCTGGACAGATTACAGGGTCTTGCACCTTGCAGCTCAGCTTTCTGTCTGCTGAAAGAGAGTTGAGAGCAACTTCATGCCTTTTTATAACTAGCTTTGGTGTGGAATCTGCCTCCTCTTGTATATAACGTCCAGTATCTGGTACAAAGACCTCCAATTTCAGCTGAACCTTATAAACTTAATAGTAAAAGAGAAAAATATTTGACTAAAAACGTAGCTAGATATAAATTAATGGATTTTGTGGCCTCTCCAGTTTAAACAGCTTCTCATTTTCCAGTTTTCTGTCATCTCAGTGACCACACTGGTCTACTGGTGATCACCTTACAAATTCAATGGAGGAAATGGAAACCAAGCTCTGCAGCAGTGACAAAGAGGAAGCTTTCAAAAGAGAACTGCCATACAGCATAGGAGAAATAGACTTCACAGCTTCTGGGAAGAAACGTGGAAAGGTACAGCACTGAGCAGTTTTAACTCTTTAACACCATGGCTGTTGTTCAGCTGTTACTTCTTAGCATTAATTGTGGAGACTGGAATAGTGAGGGTCAACGTGCCACAGTGCAAGGCACCACGTTGTACTCAAAGTAGGGGCCATACCTTCCTGAGCATGAATATAATTTAAAATAAGGCCTATTAATACACAAAAGTCAATCACTTGACTTGCACTGCATGCTACAAGTACAGTTGATCACTTCTTCCTTTTTAAAAAAAATAAAAATCAATTACGTGCCCAGCTTCCTTCATTTTACATTTCCCTCTTTTAACCTCTTTCTGCCAGAAATTAATCACTATGAATTTCAACATTTTAAACATACTTTTGAGCCATTTCAAGACTCTCCTTAAAGTTCTCTATCTCTGTTCTGCTAATATGCAGAGAAGGATGTACATGGACAGACCCACCTCCTCACTAGTCCTTTGCATACATTAGTGCTAGAGCAGAAGGAATTCCTAGGATCAGAAATCTGCCTTAAGATTTGGTTTCATCATAAAGTCTTAAGCACAAAGCCAAAATATGTATGGAACAGGATAGAAGCCACAGATTCAGGTAGCACGTCCTTGAAAAACAGACACATGAAATCAGGTAAATGTTTCAGCTAGTGCAGAAACAAGAAACACTCAAGAAATATATTGGCTTTGCCAGACTGCCGTGGAACTGAAGGCCATTCAAGGGGAATAGCAGCATTAAAAGGAGACCACAATATGTCAGTCTGCAACATAAAATTCACCCATGGAAGGGAGACAGTTAGTGAGATGGCAGTTACACAGAAGCCTGCTAAAATCATCCTAGTGTTTAGTTCTCTGTCAGGTCTTGCTCAAATAATTTTTTCTTAAGTAACCAAAGTTGATGATAAATTTCCTTCTGCATTCACCATGAATAATGTGTCTACTGTATCCTACTGTCCCATTGTTATTCAGTGGGTTTTTTTGTTTGTCTTTTGAAGTTTATTAAGGTCCCAAGCACCGTTCATCCTGGAATTATATTCGAAGTTATGCTCAACAAATGGAAGCTACCTGCTCCCAATTTGGTTGTCTCTTTAGTAGGGGAAGAAGAAAATTTCCAGATGAAGCCTTGGCTACGGGACACCTTAAAAAAAGGACTTACAAAGGCAGCTCAAAGCACAGGTTAGTGCTTTAGGCTTTAAAGAAGGAATTTATATCCCTACTGGCACCTAGCATCCAGAGATCTTTTAATGTCAGTGGGCCTGCTCACATGCTTATTTTTGGAAGTTCAAGGCTTTGCTGAATGCAGCCTACAACCTGTATTTAAATAGCTTTGAAAACAAAATTTACTGTATTGGAAACAGCAAAAATAAGTTATTTCAACCAAATTACTTTAGGCAACCATTCCTGAAGTATAAACTTACCTGATGTTACTCCCTCAGAGATGACACTAGAAAGATACCATGAGATGGGATCAAATACACTGTTCCTCTTTGATCCCATAGCAAAAAACAATTCTTAAGAGAGAATAGCAATTTGATAAGAAGAGTGAATTTAGGTCAAAATTCAGAATTCTTGTTTTCTTCATTCTCACCTTTTAGCTACCAGTCAAAATCATGTTAAAATAGTGGGGTTTTTTAAAAAATAATTTTCTTCAAATTTAAGAGTGGAACACACTTTGTTAGACTATGATTAGACTCAAGTTTAAACCAGAAAAAAATAAGTCACGGCTTGCTTTCTCCCTGCCTGTTCACATGAACGACAAGATTAGTGAAAAGCATTTAAAACCAAAACCAAACCAATCAGTGTCTGGGAATATGAATGGAAGTGGCTTTCATTTAAGATGGCATTCTTTCCCTTTAACTTCATAAAAATACCTGCAAAACAAAGTGAAAATACCCGTAAGCATTTCACAGCAAGCTCTTGGTTTAGCATCATTGGTTCAGAGAAGATTGTAACAGTTTTGCTTTTTGTAACCAAACAGCCCAGTACCGAAGCTCTTTTTGGTACTTCGGACCAGACAGATATTCTCTAGCTCCACCTGCCTTCTACGCTTAAGACTGGACAGCATCAAGATCTCTAGTTTCTTTATGTTACATATTTGAAAAAGGTTGGTTCGCTGTTTACCTAGGGTTCTCCACATTCTTTGTCAACATAATAATACTGCTGTAAATCCTACTCTCCTGAAGACTTCACTCTCCAGCACACACAAGAACAAGAGAAAGAGAACAGCAGATTAGGCAGGTTATGCCCCAGCTCTTCTGCTACCAGGTGATTGCCTGGGACTGTTTAGTCCTCAATTCAAGCCAACAACTTCCTCCACCCCATCCCTTCGCTCTTCCTCGTGCAATAATAATCAGACCTGCTTGCTATAAGGATGTTTCTGCTCATATTTAGACAGTAGGTGGCTTCTGACTAGACACAGCATTCTTGATGGGTGTATTGACATCAGGGTAAAGATGGCAATGCTGCATCACACATATGAAGCACATTTGCTTGGGCATATAATTTCTTCTTGTTTTCCCTATTAAAGTCTTACATACTTTGTATGTATTTTAATTCTAAAAGTTACAATCCATCAAGACCTGCCTACAGTTTATAAAACAAGCTTAAATCCAGTAGTGCAAGCAATGTTACTTGACACACAAACATGTTCAATTACAAAAAAAAATTATCTAACTGTTTTTAAAAAATAATTTCAGGTGCTTGGATTTTTACCAGTGCTTTACGTGTAGGAATAACAAGACACTTAGTGCAAGCAGTCCGAGATCATGCACTGGCTAGTACTTCATCCAGAGTAAAAGTGATTGCCATAGGAATAACTTCGCTCGGAAAAATTCAGCACAGAGAAATTCTGGACAACACAAAGGTATTTCTTGCTTATTCTACTCATGAGACAGGACTATTCAGAAGTAAGCTGCCCCTTTACAAAATTTGAAAGTAGTAGGCAGAACAACGTTGATCTAACTTAAAAACAAAAGTGGGGTTTAAAGTGTGTTTGGGGGGAAAACATAAATAAAGAGCTGGACGAATTGTTAGACCCTAACGATTCTGTGTGCAGTGCACTCAGTATACTTGGTAGCAATTCTGCAAATATCCAGCAGGTGACAGCATTAGACATCAGCTCAGCGACCAGAGTAAGGATGAACGTCAGGGGTAGGGAAAAAAAAACAAAACAAAACAAAAACCAGGCATCCTAAGTACCTTTAATATTTTTTTTTTCTCTTGTCCGCTTACTGCAGAAGTGCTTACTCCAACCTATTTCATAAGTACTGTAAAAAGTATATTTTCTAGTATGGAACACAAGCCATAAATATTTCAAACCCAAGTTTTCTTAAGTAGTCATTGAATTGGTGTCTAATCTGCAAAAACTTGCTCAGCACATCAGGCCAAAAATGCTGGCCATGCAGGATTTTGACTACTTATTGGGAGCTCTGGGGACTTTGACATTCAGGTCAAAGCAATCAAGTTCTTGGGGGAAAAAAAAAAAAAACACAACACAACAACAAACAAAACACAACAACCACCAAGTAAAAAACCTTGCCCAACAAAACAGTTGCTGAAAATGTCAGGACAAGTTGATACTGAATTGACCTGGAAGTAGAGGGGAAAAAAAAATATGGCATGACTTCCTTGTCACTGGGTATACAGTCTTTCCTAAGCAGAATATTGTAACAGTAAAGTAGGTGTGTAATGACAATGAATGACAGTTCCCCTGTGCTATTTTACTTCCCTGCAGAAGCTAAGAAACAAATGACAAACACAGCCCTTTGAACTCACACCTAGTTCTTTTCTCAAATAGGCTAGCAAGTACCAGCTAGCAACTGGGAGACTGCCAGCCCATATCAACTATTTATTGTCATTGGAATTCCCCTTTTTCCATCCTTTTTGCTGAGGGCAGCTACCTGTGTGCTCTACCAGATGGGACTCTAGCTGGAAGACTTGAACCTATTTGTGTGGCTGACCTGGTCTGAAAGGATCTCAGGGGAAATAATTCCGTTCACTGCATTTTGTTCAGGAAAGTTGTTTTGGCAAATGCAAACTAACTATTTCACCTCTCTGGAAGGCTAAGTGATCAAAATGCATCTGGATCTTTCCCAACCAGCAGTTACAAAACAAGCGCACTGGTCTTTTTATGCATTACGTTTTCTCCCCCTAAACTAAAACCAAAAGTCTTTGTCAAGGAATACTTTGTGTAGAGCGTTCCTGACCCTATGACTTCTGGCACTGCTTCCACCCAAAGACGTTCTGGATTTTAGTCAGTAACTTCAGGACAAAGGAACTACAGACAGGGATGTTGGTCTAAACCCAGTTCTTTTATACTTGGCACTAACATAAGAGGCTTGTTGTATAAAATAGAGCTAACAATCCACATTACCAAGGAGAAAAAACAAGCCCTGATATCAGTGGATCCCTCCCATCTCTTCTGTGTTAATGGTATGCTTTAAACATTGAAAGATCACTTCCACATTTTCAGAGAGTAAATAGGAAAATCCCCACGGGCCTTTTTCAATTGGTTGCTGTGACTCGGGTCTAACCAAAGGCCAGATCTTTGGCGAGCAGGCTTAATGCTACATGGCAGCAGAAGATAGGCACACCCTCTGTCAAAACAAAATTTGAAGGCAAATTAATTGTGTCAAGAAGCCTTCTTGATACAGATATTGGGGAGGTAAAAGAAATTTGTTGCATTTGCTGTTTGTGAATGACTTGCAAATTTACTGCATTTTTTCCTGTAACAGCCTATGATGTTGCTACTCCTCCCAGAGCTGCTGACAGGGAAAGAAGCCATAGGAACACACCTGATTATAGCCTTTTTCACCTTGTTTGAAGGAGATTTCTCCAGTTTGACTGTATGCAGCTTCATTTCAGAAAGCCACTTAGGGGAATGCTATGCAATGTGCTCAACAATTCTACCCACACCATGAAGGAGCTTTTTCTCTCAGATTTTTAATGGGTTTTATGCATTAGTAGTACTGCTATGAGCTCCTAGTGATGTTCACTGCATTACCATCAGCAGCCTTAGCTGTGGAAAAAAACCTGGATAACCCCTGGGTTGGAATTCCCTCAGGATTCCACTGGGCACTTGCTCTCCTTAGCACACACTGCCAAAAGTTGAGATTAAGAAAGGCTCTACATAAGATCTGGCTCTTAAAAACCAGAACATAAATCTCTGTCTGCCTTAATGACAGCAAGGTTACTTGCCTAGTTACACTGCTGTGTCTGGAAAGGCTTTAACACCTGACTGTGTCCACAAAATTAGTGGCAGGAAAACGCAATACACAGGCCCAATAGCCAAGCTGATGAGTTCTGTTCATCAACTCAAAGGCTGCAGGAGTCGGAAGAGAAGCACGATAGAAGGAAATGGAGATTTTAAACAATTGTTTTAATCTGGTTTGCTTGCAACAGGACAGTGATTATTAAGATGAAAAAGAATAATCAGGCATTTACAACCTGATTTACAGCTAGGAACAATCAAAGTGGATGTACAACAGTGGGAAAGAAAGATTTATTAAGGAAGTAAGGGGAGCTTGAAAAAATGTGTCTGGAAGTCCATATGTAGCACAGTCCTTAGGAAAAAAAAAGACTATAATGGCGATTCTGTTTTACACAGACAGTGATTTTATGCAAAAATTCATTCATAAATAATTTCAAGGTAACATCCCTCACCCAAAATAAGATCACACTTTCTAAAATCTACTTGTCACTCACTCCTTTAGAATGCAGTTTCCAAACTGAGAATAACCATTAAACCACATATAACCCTGTCAATGAAATAAAGCTGCATTTAAACTGATACGGACATATAGCAGGCTAACTTATCTACTGGGCTAAGCATAGACAAAACACTACTGAAATGAACAGGTCTGTCCCTGTTTATACCGGCTGAGACTTTAGCCCTCCAAGACATTACAGCTCCGTCCACAATTATAGGGTCTCACGGTCCTTTTCTATTTGTCCAACAAACATTTCCAAAACCTCAGAATGAATGCCTACGTTCCAGAGATGATGACTGATGTCACTATATTTTGCAGAGCCCAAAAGGGAAACTCCAGGAACTTCAGCTTTCAGTCCTGTCAAGTCTGGCACTGTTCAGGAGGAACACATTGTCCTTCTCTACCCTTCTCAAAGAGAGTCTATTCAAGTGTCTCAAAGATGGTGTGCTATGTCATGGTGCAGGCAAAATAAAAATGGAGATGAAGCACATAAAAACATGGACTGTGTTTTGTAGAGAACACTAACATCTTTCCTCCTCTCTCCAGAATGAGAGTCTGGTACACTACCAATCAGATGATAATATCCAAGGCCCACCATATTCCCTGGACCACAACCATTCCCATTTTATTTTGGTGGATCACATAACACCAGATGAGCCAGATGGAACCACTAAGCTACGTCTCAGCTTGGAAAAGCATATTTCAGAACAGCGTACTGGATATGGTGGTAAGGTGACTCTATATAAGTATGCTAACTTGAGTAATACTGGTATTACAGTGATACTTCTGGGCCTTGGCCTTATCAAAGGCAAGTCCAGTTCTCAAACTGGACAATTGTCTACATAGGCAAGATCAAGTAAACACATTTGTCATTATGCAAGAGGCAGAACTAAGGTGACTTCTGAAGTTGAGAAAGCTGCTCTTTCAACCAAAAATCCTGACTTTATCACATCTCCTTAAACATAGCTCAAAGCTGATCTTCAAAGCATAGCTCAAATTGCCACACAACAAATGGAAAATAAATCCAGCTTTGAGTGCCTTAACCAGTGGCTCTCAGAGATGGATGTTCATTGTTGTATACTTTTATCTCCTCGCACACACAGGGTCTTGAATTGCTCCCACACTGGAAGAAAAGACTTGTTCCAAAGCCCTTTGAAATATTTTAAGCCATATTTATTTCTGGATAAAAATCTTATCCTGAGTAAACAATGTAACATCTAATGGTCATATAAATCTACATGACCTTTGTTTATAATGAGAACTGAGTATTGGGCAGGCCTCCTACTGCTATCTGTGGAAAGAATTCAGTTGTATTGCTAATACAATTACTTTTACCTTCCCTTTATTTCTGTAATACCTGCAGTGCTAGCACAGCTGAAACAGAAGGGAGAGCTCACTTACATGCACTTGTATGCATCACTGGAATATTCAATTACGTATCCCATAGTATGGTTTCATAGATGTACCCAAGAGCATGAACGCACCCACAGAATGGTTATCTAGTGGCTCAGATAGGAAAGGCCACAGGTGGACTCCAATGGTAGGCTGAGGCCAAGAATTAGAAGGCAGCCTCTTTCTGCTTGCAAACCAAATCTGATTGAACAAATCTCAGTGGAACAATTTTCTGTCATAAAATGCTGATTCATTTGACAAATACTTCACCGGAACATACTGAGTTCAGTGATATCTTCTATAACCAAAACCAATGTCATTCATTTAAGCTCATTTACATTCAAGCTGAGCAAAGCTATGTGACTTTACTGAAGGAAAACACTTCAATAAGGTTGTGCAGAATTTCCCTATTTTAAAAAATATCTAGAAGTCATTCAGAGAAAATTTTTGATATGCTGAGTATTCTTCGCAATTAAGGTCTTCCCACCTTTCCAGCATAAAGTCAGAATCTCTGTCCACCCTATCCTCCCCCCCCCCCCCC